TTTTTTTTTATAAACTTACAGGTCATCTTTTAATTTTGAGGTGAGTTTAATTTCCACCAATTGTTTACATTTTGCCTCGTTTGCTTTATTGCCCATGTCCTTAATGAATTTTCATACATGTGCATATTAGTTTTTCTGAGCTGTTCGAGAGCCATTTGGAGACATTGGGTGACTTTAACCCTAGGTACTTGAGTGTCTATTTTTTTAAAGTACGAATTGAGGGGGAGGAAAATTTTTATCTACTACCGCATAACAAATGATCCTGAAACTTACTGGATCCAACTTTAGGATTCTGGGCAAGACATACCTGGGTGCTTCTGTCCACAGACTTTGCACAAATCTGCGGTCAGACCATGTCCTTTGACGAATGTGGAAGGCCCTACTCTCACATTCGCGCATAGCTGTGGGCATGACACCGTCCCGTTTTGCTGCCCCGTGAGCTGTCCCTTACTACGCCAGCCTGCGGGGGCCACTCACAGCACAATAGCCTCAGGAGAACTGGCGAGTAGAAGGACAGGGCATCCGGTGGACCCTCATCTTGGAAGACACATCCATCCCTTTTGTCCTATTTTTATTTGTTAGAAAGTCACTGGGCCCAGCCTACCCTGGCGTGGACTTCCCTGAGCCTGGGCACCAGGAAGATGGCTACAGGAAAGATGCGGCCAGCGTGGCGCTCCCCTCTCTCTGGAACCCCACAAAAAGCTGTTTGTTAGGTGCACCCCATCCTCCCCAGTCAGTCTGATTATGCAAGCTTTATGTCACAAAAGCAACAAAAACATAAACCAATAATGCTTTTAAGTATTTATGACAGGGACCCTGGAATCCAAATGTCCCCTAGATTGATCACATCCAAATTCCAGGAAAAGCTGGGATGCAAATCACGCTCATAGTAGTTTCTCTTCTCCAACCTGGAATGGTGAATATTTGGAAACAGTGGAATAATTTGCACATTTTCTTTAAATGATCTATCATCTTGCTCATTTTCCTTTATACCTAAATATGCAAAAGAAATCGAATACAACTAAATTCTGCAGTTCCTACTTGCTGACCTTCCTGTCTTCAGCTAGGTCAGAGTGTGGCTGCTTTAAGTTCGGTGTGGGGTAAGAAGGTGCCTGGTATGGGATGCTGGGCTGGAGTAGCTTCAGGGGACCTGCTGCGTCTGCTGTGCCCTCGGTTCTGAACCTCGACCTGGGACACTTCCGCACTGAGCTCAGCTTACTCTTTCCTTCCATTTATTCTTCTACTCTACAACCATTAGTGAATTCTTGAGCTAGGCACTGTGGGCTGACAGAGGAATAAGGTATCCCTGTTCTTCAACTGCTCTCCAGTTGGTGAGGGAAATAAGACCCCAAATGATTGTGTCACATGGTAGAAAATGTGACAGGGCTCGGCGCCTGTGGCTCAAGTGGCTAAAGCGCCAGCCACATACACCTAAGGTGGCGGGTTCAAATCCCCAGCCGGGGCCCACCAAACAACAATGATGGCTGCAACCAAAAAATGGCCAGGCGTTGTGGCGGGTGCCTGTAGTCCCAGCTACTTGGGAGGCTGAGGCAGGAGACTCGCTTGAGCCCAGGAGTTGGAGGTTGCTGTGAGCTGTGATGCCATGGCACTCTACCCAGGAGTATAGCTTGGGGCTCTGTCTCCAAAAAAAAAAAAAGTGTGACAGATGGTCACTTTTTAGATAGAGTCACAGAAAGGGGGTGCAAAGAGCTGAGTGGCCAGCACAACAGGTGCGCCACTCAGACCATGGCACTCCCCTGGCCCTCACCTTGCACCTGCGGCTCCCATTCCTGCCATGGCCTTCACACAGAGTTCCCAGGATTGAATAAGTCAAAGTACAGACTCCTTTCCCAGATCAGACATTGTACCACTTCACCCACAACACAGAAGGCAACACATGGGGTAATTCTGTCATTTTTATTGAACTGAAAAAAAATTAAGGTTCAGAAAAGTTATGTCCAAGCTCTGAAGACTGGTGCTTGGTGAAAGAGGCTTGTCAGATCCTTTCAGCTGTGCCCCTCATCCCCAGTGGAAAGGGCTGTTCCCAGGCTCTAAGGAGGCCAAGGGCCCAGAGAGATTCTTCTCGGAGTCAGAGGCCTCTAGCGAGAGAGCCTTTGTCAGACCAACATGTTAAAGGTGTGCCTATCTTTCTACAAAATACTGAATTGGGGAATTTATGACTCAGTAATGAAAATTTGATCTGGCACAACCCTAAGCCTGTGAGCTCTCAGGCCAAGATGGATTTGTTTTTCTAAAGCTGACAAATCTGGCTTGACCGTGGCTAGCAGGAATGCAACACCCAGAAAGGACCCTCGGTTTTGGAGAATTTTGTTTACATGACACTAAGCCCCAAGTGACCTTAAATTCTAAATAAAGTTTCCATGGGCAATTTATATAAGAGGCTTGTTTTTAAAGAAAATAAATTATATGACAGGTTTATTATATATTACAAACTAGACTGGTGAACATTTTACTCAACATTTAAAAACCTTTAATTAAGATCTTTCAGTACATAAAGCTTACATACCAAAATCTAGCAAAAATCTATAAAATCTAAACACAGTTCTAAAAGAAAGAAGTGACACATAACTTTACACACTGAAGCTTTCAGGATGGCTACACTGTGTTGGACATAGCACCATTCTATTCCCAGCTCACAAGGACTTTCAGAGCATGTCAGCCTACAAGCTGTGGTATTTGGCAAATGCTATCTGTTTTTATAAGGTGTCCAGAAAGCCAAGGCCATGACACCTAAAAAAGGTTAACACTAATTCCCTAGGTCTCCCCGTTTTGACTAACCCACTGGTGCAATATGGTATCATTGCATCACACTCAAGCAAAGTAACACCCACAGAATCTGAACTAGCCAGAAGGGAAACTCAGTGGTGACTTCCCCTCTTTATTCTACAAGGCATTAACATTTGGGATGGCAATGCAGAATCAGTGTTTTGGGAGGTGGCAGGGGCCGTGCATGGAAAGTCCTCTGCAGCCTTCAACATGGGGAATGAGATAAGGCAGGTTTCTGTTGAAGGTGCTGTTTCTCTAGTGGAAGTATCTGTTGTTGCAGAGGAGGCTTAAAAGCGGGGAGGGGATGGGAATTTTGTGCAAACTTCACTGGGGCTGCATAAACAGAGGCGGTGATGTTTTATGTCTCTTTGATCTTTTCCAAGGACTCTGGCTGGAGTGCGCTGCTCTCTAAGAGAAGCCATGACACAGTGGTGTTTTTGGTTTGCAGCAACGTCTTTAATCACCACATGAATATTTATAAACTACTGGGGCCAGAATGTATGAAAGCTGCTCTGCAGGAGCCTTCCCTCCAGCCACTGTGCACATTTGCTTCTTTCTCATGCAGCTGTTTTTACTTCCTAGGAACTGAAGGCAGAAATGGAGAGGAAGTAATATGTCTGCTTGTGTCACAGAAGCACCCTTGGTTCTGAGCGAGCTCGCTGAGTTGTGCTGTGTGAGCCAGGCTGGGCTGCAGGAGCATGTGAGGGACAGAGTGCAGTCACCTGACCTTGGCTGTCCTCCAGACACCCTGGTGCACTCTTGCCCTTGGCATGTGTGGCACAACTGGTGATTTAGTCTCCAGAAACATCTTACAAAAGTCTTTCCCTAACTGTATTTTTATGTAGGTATAAATTCATTTTAGTGTCTTAACATGGACATTTGTACAGTTTTCTGGGCCATTGCTTCTAAGTGAGATTTGACTGCTGCACATCTGGAATACTTCAAGTTTATCCTTCTTGGAATCAGTGTCATGAATGTTTTCCCTCTGGGTCAGTTCAAGACTCTGCTGTCAACATGATGTTCTATAATTACACGGGTCCACAAAACCCTCAACTCACTGACATGTGTTTCTGTATTTAGGTGCTGTAGGCTTTCCCTCTGGGTATTACCCTCTATTCTGCCGCTCTTGGATCTTCCCAAGGTTTCACCTTGGCCAACTGTACTGGAAGGAGAGAATGAGGGATTAGTCGATCTGAACTCTGCTTCCTTTTACATCAATTAATTACAAAATTTAAGCTGTGTTCAAGCAGACAGCTTTATTTATTTGGTCTTCAATTTCTCAATATTAAAAATTTTTAGATATGTTAATAATTATAAGGTTGTTTAAAGATCAACCAAGCTATATATATCAATGTGTTTCAAAAACTTTAAAGCTCAATAAAAATGTTATTGAAAATGTCAATAAAAATGTAAGAACTTGCTATTATTATATGATTATCACTAAAGTTTGCCACTCCTCCATCTTTCTTGGTTGCTGGCCTAGATATTCAATCAATTCTGTTTTCTTGTTATTTTTTAAAACTATATTAAACATGTGAAGTTGCTGATATTTGAATATATTGCTGATGTTTAACCTATAAGAGTGGCTATTTTGACTGGCTTTTTTTTTTTTTTTTGAGACAGATTCTCACTTTCTCACCCTTGGTAGAGCACTGTGTCACAGCTCACAGCAACCTCCAGCTCTTGGGGCTTAGGCGATTCTCTTGCCTCAGTCTCCCAAGTAGCTGGCATACAAGTGCCCACCACAACGCCCAGCTATTTTTTGTTGCAGTTTGGCCGGGGCCAGGTTCAAACCTACCACCCTTGGTATATGGGGCTGGTGCCCTACTCACTGAGCCATAGGCGCCACCCTGGCTTTTACTTTTTTGTTTGTTTGGTTTTTGTTTTTGTCTTTTTTTATTTCAGATTAATATGAGGGTGCAAGTGATTAGGTTATAGTCTTTGCATTTGTTAGGTAAGGTCCCTTTTGTAGTTATGTCTTACAACACCAGGAGGTGTGCCATGTACCCCACACTGTGCCCATCAGGTGGGGGCACACACAAAAAATATGGAATGCTTCACGAACTTGCCGGTCATCCTTACGCAGGGGCCATGCTAATCTTCTCTGTATTGTTTCAATTTTAATATATGTGCTGGCAAAGCAAACACATCAATGGCTTATTCTAGTAATCGCAAACATATTGAGAGCTGGGCATGGTGGTATGCAACAGTAATCCTAGCTGCTTGGCAGGCCAAGGCAGAGTTAAAGACTAGCTGGACAGCATAGCCAGACCTCACCCTAAAAAATAAGTCAAAGTGACAGTATTTGTATGGTGAAAACCCAAATAGTACCAGTAAGTGAATACTGATATAAAACCCTTATTTCTCATTTTGTTAGAGTATAAGTTTCTTAAAAAATTGTACCTTCTGGTGTACCTTGGTATCTTTTTTCTATCTGGATGTGGTATCCCTTAATTGTTCATGTTTAAAACCATGAGTGGAATCTGTGCTGTCAAAGGTAAGCTTGTGTAGGGGGTTTGTTTTGAGGAGTTACACTAGAGATTGTTATGCTAGAGATTTCCTGAATGTTAGTGAGTGATGTCTTTGGTCTGAGCTATTTCATTTCTCTTGAAGGCGGGTGCTTGGTTGTTGGCAGTCTAGTCACTGGTTGCCTGAGGGGTGGGGGCAGCAGGGACAGGTGAGATGGGATAATTAGGGCCGACTATTCAGTGCGCAGTTTTCAGACACCTGTTTCAATTCTCCTCTGCACCTCACCCCACAGACTGTGACTCCTTTCCTAAGTTGTGCTTATTGTCGACCTCCTCCTGTCTCTGCAGACCACTCCTTCCACTCTCCCTGATGGGTAATCATGGTGGTTTGGGGGAAAGGGAGACAGTGTGGTGAGTGCTTTTTTTTTTTTGCAGTTTTTTTGGCCGGGGCTGGGTTTGAACCCACTACCCCTGGTATATGGGGCTGGTGCCTTACTCCTTTGAGCCACAGGTGCCGCCCCTAGTGAGTGCCTTTAACCTGAAAGGCCTTTTCTTGTAGCTAGCACGGTTTGAAAAGGGGCTTAAAAATATTCAGTGACTCAAACTTTGGGGACAATTTGAACATCTTAAGGCACCAAGTTATTGAGTTTTGGGGGGAGAATAATTATTTAATATCTGCCTTGTTTTAAATATGCCAGGTTTGCAAAGTATAAACTCATAACTACTCTTCAATTCCATTATGAAGGTGAGATCAAATCTTTGAGACAAAATTTATTCTGTCTTCATAAATGACGATATTGTACTTTGAAAACTCATATATTATTTGGAATTTTTTACATATTTATTTGATTTGTTGAACTTTTGTGTAAGGGAAATGGCCTGACATTTGTCCTATCATTCCTATGAAACACTTAGCAGGGGGCACAGGAGGAGTGAGGAGTTTTTTACAGGTAAAAAGGAGAAGGTGTTATCATTGTGGCCCTTTCATAGAGGAGCAGCCAGATTCAGAATTTTTTAAGTAGCCGATTTTTTAAAACCAGACTGAGGGGCCAGGCAAAGTGGCTCACACGTGTAATCCTAGCACTCTGGGAGGCTAAGGCAGGTGGATTGCCCTGAGCTTACAGGTGCGAGATCAGCCAGAGCAAGAGGGAGACCCCATCTCTAAAAATAGCCGGGCATTGTGGTGAGTGCCTATAGTCCCAGCCACTTGGGAGGCTGAGGCAAGAGAACCGCTTGAGCCCAAGAATTTGCTGTGAGCTATGATGCCACAGCACTACTAAGGGTGACAAGTGAGATTCTGTCTCAAATAAATAAATCCAGACTGAGATTTTCTGTTTTATAATTAGTTTTTCTTTCTGTTATATCTTATATTCCATCCTTCTGTATGAATTTCTTTGCTAAGGCTAATTATGAAGCTCAGCTCTCATGTGCTAAACATACATTCATTTTCCCCACCCTTTATTGCTACAGAGTATACAAGTGATTTTGAGGGGGTCCCCCACCGCGATGGCCCACAGCACCTAGCAAATTGGGTGCAGTCAGGTGCGCTCACCGGCCTGGGGCCTCCCTTAGCCTCCCACAGTCCCAGGAGGCCCTCTGGTGGCCAAAATCATGCACCAGGCACCAGTCAGACTGGAGACAAGAGAAAGGTCCATCTTCCTAGCTGGTGTCCCTAATTTGGGCTCCTTATTCCTCTTCTGTCAAAACTCCACTACTTTCAGATAAAGTAAAATGAAAGTAAAGTGAAAATGATCCACTTAGTTTAGTGATCTTTTATAGGCTGTATACCTCTGTGATTATCTGAGCCAGTAGTTTTCAAATAGAGTGCAGGGCTTCATAGCCTACAAATGTTATATTTAAATTCTAGCTAAGATAGTTTAATTACTGTATTTTCCCATTCTAGGGCATGTTTCTTTACACTTTAATTTTTGTGAAGTTAGCATGCATCTTATACTTGATATACTGCATTTAGTATGATGTCTCTTCTGTACCTTTGAAAAATTATCAATAAATTAGTGGTGAATTTTCATTAAATAGTGTCTCAGAGGTAAGAGCATATAAGCTACAATCATTAAATATTCCACAATATTTAGAGGCAGTAAGGTCATATTTCTTTTTATAAACCAAATTACAACCTGGGGAAACTCCTACATGTCAAGATATGGGAATTCTAATTTACAGAAGTTTAACGTTGTGTGGACATAATATGGGGGACTCAGGTGTAGGACCCTGTGCTCCCACCCTCCTTTCTCTCTGCCTTTGCTATGACCAGGCATGCTGGTCCTCCCCTTTGGGGGGTGGGAGGGCCACTGTCCTGCTGTGGGAGTGGCCCCACAAAACCCTGTGTATGGCTCCACACAGGCTCCAGGGCACAGGCAGAGCCTGCCCTCCCCCAATCTTCACTTTGTCTCCCCCTTGGCTGATACATATTAACCCCTTAGATGATTCTAGATCTCCCCAGAAAAGACCTTGGTGAGTGTTGTGTGGGCAAATCCTTTTCTCCCTCAACCCCTAAAGACTCTGTCTTGTGTGTATGTAAGAGAAGATGTTTATGTGTGAGAGTGTGTGTGTGAGAAAGAAAGAGAGAGAGAGGGGGAGACAGACAGACAGACTCCTAAACTGCAGAAGTGCTTCTCAGCCTGTGGGAAATGGGAAAAGAGATTCTTTCCTGGCATGTCTAATGCACACACAGAAAGGACGTGAATTAGTACTTTTTCTACCAATTGCATCTATAACTTTAGCATTTAAAAGTTATAACAATCGGCTCGGTGACTGTAGCTCAGCAGCTAGGGCATCAGCCTCGTACACCGCAGCTGGAGGGTTCGAATCCAGCCTTGTCCTGCCAAGGAACAATGACAATTACAACCAAAAAGTAGCCGGGCATTGTGGCGGGCACCTGCTGTCCCAGCTACTCGGGAGGCTAAGGCAAGAGAATTGCTTAAGCCCAAGAGTTTGAGGTTGCTGCGAGCTATGATACCACAGCACTCTATCCAGGGCAACAGCTTGAGACTCTTTCTCAAAAATAAGTAAATAGGCTCAACGCCTGTGGCTCAAGTGGCTAAGGCGCCAGCCACATACACCTAAGGTGGTGGGTTTGAATCTAGCCCGGGCCTGCCAAACAACAATGATGGCTGCAACCAAAAAATAGCCGGTATTGTGGCCAGTGCCTGTGGTCTCAGCTACCTGGGGAGGCAGGAGACTTGCTTGAGCCCAGGAGTTGGAGGTTGCTGTGAGCTGTGATGCCATGGCACTCTACCCAGGGGGACAGCTTGAGGCTCTGTCTCAAATAAATAAATAAAAATAAAATAAAATAAAAATAAAAATGATAATAAATTTAGAAGCCATGGCCATGCAAATGTGTCATAAAATGTGCCATCAATGAAATAATCAAATATGCCAATCAAACTTGCCTTCTCCCAAACCATGAAATAAATTCCTCCTCCCATCTCCATGCACATATTTAGTATTTTTCACAAATGTACCATTGAATGGGAGTTGTAGAAATTTTTTATTTTGACTACAGTCCTTCCATGTACGATTATACAAGGAAGCATACTGCTATAACATATGTGCATTGCCATATCCAATTAAATGTGGACTGTGGCCCATTTGTTCACGCATGTGTGTTTATGATTTAACAACTAGTTTGCCACGCAGGAATTTGTCTGTTCCTTTTCTGGCTTACCTATTTATAACCCAGAATGTGAGAAGTGTTAGTTCTTTGTAGTTATTTAGCTTTAAGATGTAGTAAACTGATCTAGAATCTTTGAAGAAAAATAGTAGGAAAATTTTAAAGGGTTTCTTAAAATTATAAGTAAAGATATTCTTAAAAACTATTGTCCTTTGAACTACTCATCTCTCTACATAAGGATTTATCAATAACACAAAAATAAAAGAAAAAATGAAAGTTAATTGGAAACTTAGTGCAATATAAAAGTGTAATCTTTACATTTTCCTTATTTCTTTTATCATACCTAAATCCTATAATTGAACTCATGAAAATTTTTATATTAATAAAATCCTCATTTATCTTTTGTAACGTTTGAGTTTATTTGTATATTTTTATTTAATAAAGAAAAAAGTTTTTACTGTTAAAAAAAATTTTTAAAACACAGATCACCTACACCCTTCACTTCACAAGAACCATAACCTCAAGCGTTCACCGAACACCAGTGCATGTCGGCTTATGGTCCAGATGCCTTTGGATGAGTCACACTAAATTAATAAGTGCATTTTAAAATATGTATAGATTAATCCGCAAATATCTAAGCCTGTGGAATGTGTAAAATAAGATATTTTTGAACAGAAGATACAGCATTTCAAGGCAAGTTTCAATGCATTCCTCTTTCTGGTCAGCAGAGCCAGTGTCACAGCAGGTACCACAGAATGTACCACTGAAGAATGTACCATTGCCTTAGTGTTCAGATGGGGATGCCAAAGGCTTCCAGGAGGAAAAACACAGGTTGAGTCTAAAATCCATTATTGAAATTTCTTAATGATTCTGAGAAGAGGTTCAGCAAGCACAAGTGTGTCCGTACAGTCTTTCTGCATTGTGGACATGAACTTGGGCCCTGGTGATACACCACAGTCATAACTTGTAGGGAGATTAGCTAAGGGAAATTTATATTAATGCGTTTGCATTAAACTTGCTCAATTCTGAAAAATGAGAAATACTTAGTT